ATAATATTTATTATTTTTTAATAATTTAAGTTTTTTCAATTTATTTTTATTATTAAAATATTATAAATTATGATATAATTAAATTATATAAAATTAAATTTTAATAATTAATTTTGTAATTATGTTAGATATTAAGTGTTTCTTTTATAAAAATCACAAATAAAAAACTCTAAAATAAAATTTTTAGTTTTGCAATGATTATAAATTTATTATAATTTATTATAATTTTTTTTAAAAATAATTAAAAAAAATAAACCAAATACACGTATATTTAAAAAGTGCGGCGAGGAAAAAGCCCAAACCACGATCGCCAAACGCACCCTCAGGTTCAAGAGTAGGAATTTTTTTTTTTTTTTTTATCCGTTGGAACTGGTCTAACGTAACGACTGACTTCGCCTTCCTCACTTTCGTCCTCCTTTCCTCCTTGTCCGCTACCGCCAACTCCCGATTTTCCGGTGAATTTACCGATCTGTCGCGACGCCGGCACTGTTCTGGTACGAAAACTTCTTCATCTTACCAGGTTTACGCCTTGAATCGATTTTCATTGACCTTTTTTTCTTATCTGGAATTCGAATTTCAGCTTCGGTTCTAAACTTTTGCACCAAAATTTCTATTTTTTCCTCAGCATGATAGAAAAGTTGATTAATCTGTTTTCATGATGAATCTAGATTTCATGTACCTTGTTTTTCCGCTTCAGCTCCGTAGAGTCGTCGATTTCCATGAATTTCCAGCTAGTTAGGGTTGCCAGGAGCAATCTCTGGGCATAATTATTGTAACAAATCATGGATTTTCTAGTAAGGAGTTGTAGATTGAATGTAGAATTAGAGTTAGATTCTGGTTCTGGATTTGACTCTTTGTTTTCTTACTTTGGATGCAGTTGTGATTATTTGAGCTGCGGAGCAGATGTGCCGGCAGAATTCCTGCTTGCATTTGTCCATGGATGAGTCCGTTACAGCTGAAGAGAGTCTCTTAATATTTTGCAAGCCTGTTGAATTATACAATATTCTTCGTCAACGTGCTTTGCATAATGTAATGTGTTGTCTTGCTTTGTGGAATATTTGAATATGTATTTTCCCTTTCCATTACCATGTTACTCTTTTCTTGGTTTAACGGATCCCTGAATATCCTGGGTTTCCTGGCTTTTGAGTGGAAGCACCACCCGAATATTGCCCAATGCCATTAGATGTTATATGAACTTTTAGGTCTATTTTATAAAATAACATTTCATGCATTCTTTTCTGCACTCTAATCAAGTTTATTTATTGTTGCAGCCTTCATTTCTTCGTAGATGTCTGAAATACAAATTACAAGATAAGCGTAAAAGGAGTTGGCCGGCATCAAATCAGGACCTTCTCCCTATGTATGGACTGGGCATGGATGAGTAAGGAACTTTTAGTAGGTCTAATTTATACATCATGAACCTTTTAGTGTCTGACAATGACTAGCCTTTTGTTACCTAGCTAAATAAGGGGATTTTTATTTTTTTTTTTTTAAGCTTCTTCCTTTATCCTCTTGCTATCTTTTAGTAAATGTATGATTTCTCTGCATGCCTTATTATGTGGTTAATGTTTCTGGCTTATATTTTTCCAGGTTGAAGGCTGGCATTGTAATTTTTAATTACAAGGACTGCAATGACATGTCACAAAAGACTGAAGGTATCTTGAACCTTTTTTCACCCTGTAAATTCTTGGTTTGGTCCTATATCTTAGTAATGATTCACCAAGTTCTAATATTATGTCTTCCTATCTACTTGCAGTAACTGAAAACTTCTCTTGTCCGTTTTGCTTGATGCAATGTGCAAATTTCAAGGTGCATATTCTTCTTAAATGTTGCAATGTCATTTAGGCTTAGGTCAAATGTAAACTTCTTTGCATATCTCCATTTTGGAATCTATCATTCCATAGAAGCAATAATTAATATTGCAGTTTTAAAAGAGTAAGGTTTGTTCTTTAATATAATCTCTCGTTCTTGAATGTGTCCACATAATTATAATCTCCAGTAATAAGTGCTGCAATTTATTGGCTCTATGCTGTATTTGGAGTCCTTTACCCTTGTCTCTAGGACTTATTTTTTCTGATACAGACAGTTCCATGATAGGGCAACTTCTGCATTTGTCTGATCTAGTGTTTTAAGTTTCTGCTATCTATATATCTATTTCTTACTCTGGTCAACCTTTGGCTTTTTCCCCTTTTTTCTTTTTTTTTTGGTCACAGGGTCTACGGTATCACTTATGTTCTTCGCATGATTTATTCAACTTTGACTTCTGGGTTTGTAACTTAAAAACAATTAATGTACTCACTGATTGTGGAGCCCTGCTAGAAGGATGAGTAATGAACTAATCATGTTGTAGGTAACTGAAGAGTATCAGGCAGTGAATGTCTCTGTGAAAATTGATTTGTTGAGATCTGAGGTCAGAATTTCATTTCCATCCTAAAAGTGCCAAGGATATTTTCCTTCTCTCTTTTCTTTTTCCCTTTAAGGTTCTTGTGAGCTGAGGAATATAGCAATAAGCATGAACTTATCTTCTTCAGAATGTCGGATTCCACCTTTTTTCTTTTTTCCTTTTTTTTTTTTAGTTTCTTATCATTTATTCAGTTTTGCTTGAGTAAATTCTGCTGCATGCTTGAATTGTTGTTTGTTTTCAAGCTATTCATATCATTTGTATAATTGTTGTTACAGATTGTTTCAAGTGAAGTTGACCAACAAGTGCAAACATTCTTCTTCTGGTAGGATATATTTCTTTTGGTAAAGTTTAAATCTTCAAATTGAGATCTTGTAATAGTTGATACTTATTAGTAAGAGAAATTAATAATTGAGTTCTGAAAATTGCATATGCAGCTCAAAGCCACGGAAACGTAGGCCTAAGAATCCTGTTCAGAATGTCAACATACAATTTTTGGAGATAGACTCACCCAAAATATCCAAGGAAAGCATACAAAATGGGTTTCTAGAGAAGGATGATGGTAAACTTACCACGAATCCCTTCTGTCACCTCTTTACTGAATTCTTTATTTTAGATTTGTTGTCAACTCTTCTTATCTGATCTGATCTGTTATTATTTATTAAATATGATTTGATTGGTAACTTAAAGGAGAGAGATGTGATGAAAAAGTGAAAAGGAGAAGGGAAATTCAAGACAAGGGTCAAGGAGTGTGTGTTGGGTAAAGTGTTTTGAACCTTTTGAGGGTACATATGGATTTAGTGGAAAGGAGTTTTTCAAATAAGAGGAAATTGTAGGCTTGTAATGTCATAAGTATTTACCATTTCAGTCATAATCAAATTGTTCCTCTAGCAGCAAGATGATACCTTAACATTGAAAAAGGAGAAAAGAATAAATGTTCAAGAACATCTAGACCCTCTTCAAGGAACCCATACAGTATAGATAACCTTTTTACCATGAAAAAGAAAAATGCCTGTTTTTAGTTTTTACACACTTGCATGCATGTGATGGCTTTGAAACAGATTTTATGCCATTTATTACTTAAAAATTCTTATGAACATTTCCACCATAGCTATTTTACATCTGTGGAGATAATAGTTGTGATAAAGATTTTCAATCATTGACTAAGTTTAAATTTGTTATACCAATGTACTTTTGATCCAATAACTACCAGAACAAGAACGGGTTGATTAGTTTTATTTTTCTTTTCTGTCATTTTCCTTATATTTTTTTTTAATTCTCTTTTGCATTCTGTCAAGCTGCCAAGGCATCCAAGTCAGTTCCTAGTATGAAAGGTTTGCAGAATGGATGGCATGGCATGGAAAACCATGGTGCTGATTATCATAGTGCAACAGAATTCGTTGCACGGATTGCAACTGGTAGCAATGCTCCAGAAGTTTCATTTGCAGTGGCTCGATCTCCAATGGATATTGAACCTGTTAAATCAGTATCTGGCAGTGATCCTGTTGTTCCTCCTATGAAGGCAAGGAAGTTAACTGCTGAACGATCTGAACCTAAAAAGTACGTTCACTGAATAACATGGATAATTCTTCAACTTAGTTCTTTTAATACTTCAGATAGTTGTCCTTTCCAGGTTGTCCAAAGTTTAGGCATGCTGGGTCACCATGTTTTAATTTTCTTTTCTTTTTTCCTTGCAGCCGGATGCTCTTGCTCAAGCGCCAGTATTTTCACTCTCACAGGGTTCAGGTGATTAGTTTACGATTAGTTTTATTGACCCACTTCTTCAGTTGGTACAGCTTTTGATCTTATCATCGGAATCCTTGTTTCAGTCTTTTTTTGATGGGACTTGTTGTCAGTCTTCTCTTCTTCTCCTCTTTTTTTTTGACCAATTGGACATTTTCTCAGTCTACTCTTCAATTCATGCAAATATTACATCTTTTATCAGTTAGCATTTCAATGTTAAAGAGAATATCATATATTACATCATTTACATGTGTACTTTTATTGCTACTGTGATTGACAAATGTAGTCTAGTGGAAAATCTTATCTTGAAATTCTATAATTTTGAAGTTGTTGCAACTTGGCAGTTTTTGGTAATGTGTTTCCTTAGAGTTGCTTGACCATTTTTATGACTTTGCAATAAATTCTTGAAATGTATAAAAAATTTCTCCTTTTACTAATTTTATCTCCATATTTTGAATTGAAGCCAATGGCATTGGAGCAAGTAATGTCAGATAAGGATAGTGAAGACGAAGTTGATGATGACATTGCAGATCTTGAAGATCGTAGGGTAAGCTGGATGGTTCTGCATGTAAAAATCGACCTCCTCTGAGAGTGTTGTTACAATATTGATGGTTTCTGTTGCCTCCTCTTTAATATGGTATACCCTTTTATTTACTCTGCTTTTGGGAAATAAAAACATAACATCAAACTGATATGTCACAGATGCTTGATGATTTTGTGGATGTTAGCAAAGATGAAAAGCAGCTTATGCATCTCTGGAACACATTTGTGAGAAAGCAAAAGTAGTCATTGCTTGCCACATCTAGCTTCTTCTCTTCTTTTAATCAACTCATTGATATGCAAAATTTTCTGGTTTTGTTTTGTAATGAGAAGGCTTCTCTGATTTTTGTGGCAGGGTTTTGGCAGATGGTCATGTTCCTTGGGCATGTGAAGCATTTTCGAAACTCCATGCAGAGGAGCTTGTCCAGTCTACTGCTCTCTTTTGGTAATTTTCTTTTTAAAAACTGACCATTCTGTACAAGTTGATGAGTTGGCTAGAATTTCATTGATATGCTAATTGTGGTACCTTCAATGTCAAATTATTGACTTTTGAGTGGCAAACTATCCATGATAGATCTGTGGAATGAACTTCAAATAACTTCTGGAAATGTGGATGAAATTGTGCATCCCTTGCTCATGTTTCTAGAATACTGGAATATATTATGAAAATTGACATATGGAGGGGTGTAGCTATTTCCACAGCCAAAATGGTTGCTTTCATACAAAGTTTGTGTGGGACCCGTGGTTTGTTTCAGCAATTTTAGTGGGTTCCACACCACTTTGCATGGAAACAGTCATAGTGGCGTGGGTACAGCCTCAAACCTATACAAAAATGTCAAAATGTTTAGTAATTGTATTCAGAAGTGAAAACTTATCAGCTTATTGAGTATATATACAATTCACTCCTATGATCAATAAAATTAATTTTGTCATGTGATTGATGTAAAATGCTTAGATTGAAAAAAGAAAAAAAAAAGCTTTGCCTTAGGAATAGAATGTAGAATGATGTCTTTTATCTGATTATCTCAAATCAAATACTGTAGTCTATTCAGACTGCCTTCTACCATCTAATCATACTTCAACACTTTTGGTAATAGAGATATGATTGAGAACTCTACCTAGATGAATTGAGAATTATTGCATTCTTTCTTCTTCTTCTTCTTTTTTGGCCATTTGAGAATTATTCCATCTTGATATTGCACCATTGACACTTCTATTGTAACTATAAATATTGTTGCCTCAGGTGTTGGAGACTATTCATGATCAAACTATGGAATCATGGTTTGCTCGATGCCAGCACAATGAACAGCTGCAATATGATTCTTGAAAGATGCCGGGATGAGGGATCAGACGCAATGAAAAGCTGAAATTTACATGCAATAACTACAAGTCCATCCTTTAGTATAGAGACAATACAGTTTATCCACATTGTTTTGCTACATTTTTCCCATTCATTTCCTTTGCATTCTTTTCTGCATTAACATTCTTGACTTGGGTCAGAAATCGTAGCTACTATTCTTTAACATAGGAGAGAGGGAATAAGAGTTTCCTTCTCATTGTTGTAATCTGATTCAATGCTGACATCTGTTTTACTTCATTGAGATAAAGAAGTTACAATTTTAAAACCTGTTTGGTCTAACTAGAGCTTTTGTAAAACTATAGATTTAAGAGAAAAAATCAATGAAATGTATAAAGAGAATGGTGTACGTTACTCTCCACTTTATTCGAGGTTTTGGACGCTCAAACCGCTCATATAATATATATGTATAATTGTATATATATATATATATATATAAATCTTATTATAGTTATAAGAGGGGGTTAAATACCCACTTCGGTCCTTTAACTACTATGCAAATTTTTTATTTGGTTTTTAAATTAAAAAAATTCTTAATTTGGTTTTTATTATTGATCAATTTAACCTAAATTGGTTTTTTTTGTTAAAGATAGTTGACGTTTTCATCACTTAATGATAGAAAACTATTATTTAATAATCATATGTTAAAAATGAGACTTGTCATTTGTTTTTGTACGAAAAGATTAATTTGGTGTCAAATTTGTAACTAATAAGAACTAAATCAAGGATTTTTTTTTAGTTTAGAAATCAAATTAAAGGTCTGTATAATAATTGAGGGACCAAATAAGAGATTTAACCTTTTTTGTGTTAAATTCATTTTCATCTAAATCAAAATTTGAATTTGCACTCCCCCATTAGGTCCAAGTGGCCACGCGATAAGTAAGATAGAGTACAACACATGATCATTAGGTTAACTTTTTGATTGATATTCGAACAAATACTAATTTGCTAACCATGTTTCCTACAATAAAAAAAAAAATCAAAATTTGAATTTGAGAAATTTAATTTGAAATTTGATGCTCTTAACTAGTTGAGTACTCCTTTTTAAGACCTCCTTGACAATAATGTTTTAACCATTTGGTGACATGAGTGAGTGTCTACAAGGATGTTTGAATTATAAATTTCCTATAAACTTAGAAATTGAAATTGATAAACATTATTTTCATTTATAAAATTTAAAAAAAGTTAAAATATTATAGGAAGTTCAATCTCAATCATATAATAAATGAAATTTAGGTAGAGTTTATATCATATTTTACTTATTATGTAGTTTTAATTAGATGTTTTAATTTCTGCATCCTCTTATAAAACTCATGTAGATTATAAATAATTACCTTTTTTACACCCTTTTAGTATTATTTGTTACTAAAAAAAGTTGACATTTATTTAATTAATTATTCAATTAAAATGATTCATATAGCATAAATGATAAAATTAATGTGAGTTTGATTATTTTCAATACTAATTAAAATAAAAAAAAATTTATATTATACCTTTAAATGCATGTTAATAATATATTTATTATATATTTATTATAATTAATTTGTATAGAAAATCACATTTCCAAACTTGTGCCCTAAAAAGGTGTAATTGAAAAAAGTCATCAAGAAACTAAACTTAAAAGTTAAAAGGATTAGAGAAACTTATCAAGAAACACAACAAAAAGAGAGTTATGATATCATTAACTTGAGGAGTTTTATCCCCTTACTATCAAACTGCCTTTCCAGGCTAAAATACTGTCTCAACTGCAGAACATCCATAGGACCACAGCAAATGTTTCTGATGAGTACTCATAAGAGAAATTAAAAGAAACAACAGACAAATAACAAAACAACAACATAAATCAGCTTCATCTGACATTTTATGATCGACAATGGACTCCTGCTGGTCATCACAAGTCCCTTCCTACTACTCCACCACCAAAAATCTCGGGTGACATCCTTCCTTTACTTCTCCATACATTCACTGTAGCTCTGTGGAGTCTTATCGGCATCCGTTACTCGTCCATCTCTCCAGAAGGATCCAAGTTGAGATCAGGAAGTGCTGGTACACTTGCATTGCCTTCCTGGTTCACAGAAGCTGGAAAAGAAAAGAAAATTGAGTACAAGAGCTGTTGAAACCTGGAAATGAACATTGTATACACAATCATTGAGAAGAGAGGAAGTTACCTTCTTTAGGATGCAATTTTTTCCGCAATCTCACTGTGCTTGGGAACGCCAGGACGTTGACATTCCTTAGCTCCTTCATAAAATCATCTTCCACTGGAGCAAAGAAGTGCTTGTGGGTCCACATGTCTACTAGTTCCGGGACAGATGGAATTAGTAGATTTGGTATGTTGAGAGAGCATAGGGTCTGGAAAGAAAATTTTCAGCATTAGGACTTAATTAATACAACATTAAATGCTTGTACAAGACCAAGTTAATTTATGGACTTACAGATTCAATTCTGTCCAGTAACTTGCACGACATGCCTTGCTTCCTGTAACCCTCTTGGGTTCCTATAAATGGCATTTCAGCCAAACTCCTTCCATGCACCCTGAAATATAACTAGTTAAGTCAAACAGAACACGCGCACGCGCACACATACAAAAAGAGGCATGTAGTCAATTCATATATGTACCTTATAGTTGCTGCAGATATTATTTGCCCCTTCTTTTCAAGGACAGCAACATAAAAGCCACCAAAATTAAGCCTGGTCAAATTCGACCTGAAAAATGGAAGAAAATATCAAAGTGAAAAAATAAAAGATTCCTCTAGGGTTTTTAAGAAGGATATGGCAAACTTCTTACTTGCGATTGTACACGACACTTTCTAAAATGTTGATCCTGGTATGGCGGTCCATGTTTGTCACAAAAATCTCGTTTAAGAGGGACCACGCCACAGCTATCTTGGAGTTAATCTCTGTTATGTGAAGTCCTTCATTAAGGCATATGTAGTCGGGAACATCCCTTTTTTGCAGTAGAGTCCATGAGATGCCATTTCCTACATCCTTGCTAACTCCCACCATTGCCTGCAATTCTCCATATACCTTTCACAAACTCCAAAAATCAGTTTCTCTCCCAACAAAAAAAAAAAAACACACACACACATTATCATTCTCAAAGATGGAAATTAAGATCAAATACCTCCCTACAATCACTTCCGCAAAATGAAGAACAGTCTTTACAATTCAGGTCCAACTCTTTCCTGACCATGAAACATTCCCAATGATCTGCAATAGGCATCAAAGTTTCAGAAAAATGGAAACTTCTTCTGAATTATAGAATTGAGGATGAAGATAAAGTTATACTTACATTTTTTCTCACAGTGAGTACAGTCCAGCAATTCACCTCCTCCATTTTCACAGTATTTGCAGACACAGAAAGGGCAGAGCCAGTCCCCTTTAGGAATGGCCTGCAATAAAAAACATAAAAAAAATTTTTAAAAAATTAAAAAAAAAACCCATAAGACTCCTTTGGAAAAGAGAAAGATTCTGTGTTGTGGTATATATATGAGACATAACAAAAGGAAAAAAACAATGAGTTGAGAAAGAAGTTTCTTCTTAATCACCTTCATCCCCATGCAAGGAAAGTGAAATGTTGAGGGACATCTTTCACAGCAAATCAAGTCCCCACCATCGGCACAGATGATGCAGGCATCATCGTTTCTGTCCGTGGCACCTGTCAAGGGACGAAAGGAATAAGGTTCTTGCCGTGCCACCTCTTCTGGTTTCAACCATGCCAACAGCATGCAATGCAGCAGATGGTTTTGAGTCTTTGGCAAGAAGATGTTGTAGTATGGCTGCAATAAGCGGAAGCCATTAGAACCACGAAAAGCATGGGCCTCAAACTCCCAAGCGGTCACCTCCTCATTACAACAGTTGCACAGTATTCCACCATGTTTGATTCTCCCTTCCAACAACCTAGCTTCATTTCGATAGTCAAAGAACCAGACTTTCTGGTTGAGTTCTACAACTCCCCTACTAATCATCCAGGAAAATATTGTCATCTTGTTTGCTGGTTCCCTGTTAACCGGCCTGCGAGAAAAGGAACTCCTTCTCCTCCTCCTAACATTCCTCTCAAGGTTTTGCTCAACGACGACCCCTCTCTTTGGAGGGCGCCCAGGGCGCCTCCTCTGGACAGAGTTGGCATTCACGCTGGAGGAGCTGCCCTCTCCTACCTCAGTCAGTCCTGTTTCTCCAGTGAGAGATGCAGCCCTTCTAACAGGTTTTAGCCGAGGCCGTCTTTGTCGTCTCGGCCTCTTATAATCAGGATCAAAATGACGGGAGTCATTGGCGGTTTCCTCATCAGAGTTGTCAAAACCAAGTTGCTGAGGATCAATTATATAATTTCTTTCTCTGAATCTGTACGCCATTTTTCTGTACAAGAAGAATTAATAAAACTTTGAATTAACTTCCTCTACTTTCTGAGAAAATTGAATCTCGAACAGAAAAACAGAGATTAAAAAAAAAAAAAACACAGAAATTAAGAAGAAATTAAACTACTTGCATGCAAATGAAGAATAAAAATCATCTTTATCTGCTAATGAAATTCTTGATATGTTTCCATCTCAGATTGTCTGAATAATGATTTTTTTTCTTTTTCTTTCTATTGAGATTTATGGTGTTGATGTACAACATTGAATCCTGCAAAAGAAAATAAAACCTTTTTTTTTTTGGGGGGGGGTCTTGGTATTAAGCCAGCAAGTGTGTTAACTGTTTGGTTGAGCCGTCAAGACTGGTAAGAACTAAGAAACAAAAGAGTTTCAGTCTGACACACGTGAGAAATTACGTGGGGTTGGGGTTGACTCATCATTGACTGATTTTTTCATATTTTCTTGCCTTTTTTTTTTTTTTTTTTTTCTCTAGTTTAGATTTCTATTTTTTGAGAAATATAGAACTAGAAATTCCTACTGATGAAAATAAATTAAAAAAACTGTACAATACTTCTGTCTTGAACAAAGACAAGTTTACCTATATCCAAAGGGAAAGCAACTACAATCCTAAGGCCTGGTTTAAGAGTATTGCCCTATAATTTTAACTATAATCGTAAGTGGTTTTTTTTTTTCTTTAATAATGTTATAAAAAAATATTAAATATATTAAATATATTAATTTTAATTTATATTTTATATATTAAAAACAAAAAACCAGAGCAATCAAAAAGTATTCTCAAACAAAATTTAAATTTGAGACATCAATGATTGATGGTAAATATGGTAAATAAAAAATGGGTATATTGCATACTAAATCCCACTCGTAAATTTTTTAAATTATTTTATAATTCAAATGATGTCATTTCATGTGTTTCTGCACCAAACAAAAAATAGGTACTGAACACCCAAAACTACAGCATTTAAATTATAAAACTCTCAGAAAAATAAAAAATGAAGTTTGATATATGGTATTCTCATAAGAAATTTTCAAATAATTTCAATCTGTTTTTGTTTTTCCCACACAATAAATTAAAAAAAACAATAGGTAAACAAATAGATCTAAATAATCTCATAACTAAACATATCTAAATAGGTTTTCTTTTCTTTTTCTTTTTTCTTTTTTTGCTTAAATATGGATAGCAAAGTTTTTTTTCTTGGTTCTGAAAATCATGAAAAAAGTCCTTTTCTTTTTTCGCAAGTTATTTCATCAAATATTATTTGTTACACAACTTTTAATTGCAGATCCATGCATGTGAGGTAAACATAAACACTAGAGCCCCAAAATGTCTTGATAGCCATAAAATTGAAAGGATGAGAAATATGGACTACTTTGTATCAACATCTCACAATTGTAAAATATCAAGTAGATCTAGTTGATAACATCAAAAAAAAAAAAAAAAATCTAGTTGGTGGTAGAGATCTATAACAATCAAATAAGGAAAAATCAAGATCTTTGAAAAAGAAAAAAAAAAAAAAACTAAAGATGTAGATCTAGTGCTTTCAAAGATAAAAGATTACCCAAAGCACTTAATTTTTTTTCCCTCTTTCAAAACCACTGAATTTGCTTAGATCTATTCATTCTTACCATTTTATTTATGATAATAAAATACGTAATTTTTAGGATAATCTTCTCATTAAATGTCGATAAAACAATACCTTAAAATTTCTTCAGACAAAATCTTCGCTTTAGATTGTGGACAAGCAAACCTGATATCAGAAAAGAAAATGTTAGTTGTAGATCCTTAAAGTAAATGATTTCTAATTTCTTCAAGGACTTTCACCATTAAATCGGAGAATCGATGAAAGGGCCGATAATCACAAACCTTGATTAGCTTCAAAGATTTATGTTTGAAAAGTTGAATGGGATGAAATGGTTGCTAGGTTTACTAAGAGCGTAGTGTGCGATTTACTCGAGGAGGACTGGTCTCTTTAAAGTATTGAGCAAGGGTTATCACCAAATATACCAAAGTGATACAACAGCTTAATGATAATAGCGGCGAGACACGAGTCAATAAGGTTAAATTGTTGGTGACTTTATTTGATAAAGTGCCTTAATATAGCCTTTAGCGCTAGGGTTTTCTCACAATTTCATCTAAAACTATTCTATTCGTTCTAAAATAATAGATGTTTTTTTATTTAAAATTTGTCTAAAAATAATAGGTGTTTTTTTTATATATTTGAATGGAGATAAATATTTTTTTCCTTATTTTACCCTTATTATTATTTCTTCATTTTAATTATCCATTCGATCGTGATTTAAGTCTTATTATTATTATTTTTTAAAGGTATTATAAGCAAAGTTATAAATTGTTTCCAAATTCTTAACCTAAAGATAAACTTAAAATATGTCTATTACATTGAAACGGAGAGAATAAGAAATTTCATTTTTATAAGAATTTAACTCAGTCTTATCTAGACTTTTCTTCTGTGCTGTAAATGAGCTAATTTTAGAATATAATTAATGATATTGCCGCATAAAGAGATATTATATTATTAGCCAGCTGGAATTAATATTTAATACCATATGAACATTTTCAAATAAACTTGTGTAGGGAATAGGGCTTTTCAATATACTCACTCCAAATAACTACATTGTTTCGAAATGGTTAAATGTTAAATTTGGTCCTTCAATTTTATAAAGTTGCACTTTTTTGATCTTTCAATAATTTTTTGCATTTTTTTGATCTCTCAATTTTAAGAAATGCACAACGTTAGTTTTTTCGTTAATTTGGGCCGTTAAGTCCACTTATGTGACATTTTTTATATTTTGTTTGACGACATGGATAATACAAGTAGAAAAAAAATACTTATTTGGACTAAAACTTATGCCACATTGTAAATAAACTTTACCCACTTCATTTATCAAATAATAAAAGTTCAAAATTACATAAATGCCCTTAACTTCATCTTCGTCTCCTAATTTCCTCTTTTCTCCCCTTTATTCATTAACTCTAAACTTCAACAACTTCTCCCTCCCTCTCTTTGTCTCTGGTAACTTCTCTTTCTCTTTTCCTTTTTCTAGTGCCAACTTCTTGTCCCTTCCCCTCCTATCCTTTGTTTGACTTTTTTTTTTTTTTCTAAAATTTGGATTTGAGCAAGATCTGGGTTCAAGCAAGATGAACAAAACCTTATAGATCTAGGTTTAAGCAACACCTAGGTTCAAACAAAATGAAGAAAACCTTGTAAATCTGCGTTCAAGTAAGATGAACCCAACTGTGGGGTTTGTCGAAACCTAGCCTTGCTGGTCGCCCGAACCCAACGTTGCTAGGTTCGTCGAATCCCAGCTGCTGGGTTCACGCAACCAACAGGGTTGGGTTTCGACCAACTCAGCCTTGCTGGTCGTGCGAACCTTGTCGGGTTTCGATGTTGGGTTCATGTTTTTTCATTCTTCTTTTGATTTTCATTTCCAGTTCTTGATAAATCTGGGAGTTGATTTACAATTTGATTGCATTTTTGTTGGAATTAGATTAGAGTTTGATTGCATTTTTGTTGGAATTAGATTAGAGTTTGATTGATATTGTTTATTGAAGGGTTAATTTGATTTGATGAGATCTACTGCCTTGATGAACTCAATGGCTTTAATGAAACTAGTAACTGGATTCGATGATAGAAAACTTAAATTTTGCTCTCGAGTATTCTAGGGTTCATAGTTCTTTGCGGGTTTTAGCGCGTTTGATTTGTGATAATATTACATGGCATAATGTTTTGTCCATATCAGTATCTTTTTAAGTTGGTTTCTCCATGTCATTAACATGTCATCAAACAAAATATAAAAAATGCCACATGAGCGGACTTAACACCCAAATTGACAGAAGGACTAACGTTGTGCATTTCTTAGAGTTGAAGGATAAAAAAAGTGCAAAAAATTGTTGAGGGATCAAAAAAGTGCAACTATATAAAGTTGAGGGACCAAATTTAGCATTTAACCTTTTGAAATTAATAAATCAAGAATTCCCAACTAAAATAATGTAATTTTGAAAATCACGCATTAAAATACTCACATGTGCATACAAAATGATATAATTTTAAAATAATAATAAAACATAATTTTTTGAAGTCAACAATAATATGTACTTTTTATGTTTCTCTAACTAAAATTTTTTCTATTTTGATAATAAAGAATTTAGGAAAAAACTTTCTTATTTCTCTATAGTTAGTGCATTTACTTTCACCAATAAATAGAAGCACTCCATTAATACTTAAATGAGAGTTTGAAGATAAGTTTAAAATAATAAAAATACTATAAAAACAGATAAAATTACTTTAAAAAGTTTTGTCGTCCAGCCAGTCTACACTATAAAGGTAAAACCTCTTCTAAAATTACTAGGCCAAGTTCATATAAAAAGGACTACATTACCAGATTTTTAAAGTTTTTGGATCAAATTTTCTTGAAAAGTTGAGGGATGACATTGATCTTTTTCATAAAGATCAAGGACCAAATTTATGCTCACTAGAATCCCTAAACAAATACCGCAATAAAAATTTCAAAGCACCCCAAAGCCAGAAAGAAGTAAGAAGGATTAGTGCGTATCACTTTTTCATCTTCGAGAGTAATTATAGTTTTAATTTATATTTAAAATATAAATTTATTTT